TCAGCCGCAGCCCGGACTCCACGGTTACGGCCCCTACACACAGCGGCGTGCGTTGACGCTTGGCGGTGGGCGTGTCTTGAGCTTGGGGAGTTTACGCGAGCAACGCGACCAACAACCAATCACATGAATCTCTCCTGTCAATTGCATAAAAGGTTTTACATGTCACACTTTATATGATGAACATTTATGACATTAATGTCTATGGTGCTATTTTACGCAACATTCCATGCTGGCTATATACTGTCTATGCTTGCTAGCTGTCCATTCAAACGAAGTACACTGGATATAAACTCCCCAAACAGGCGAAAACCTACCAGTTTCACCCACTGTCTCTGCCACCTCCCTCCATGCCTGGCTCCTCCGGTTTATATCCCGGTAGGTAAAGAGGGACTGGTCGTATAGCACCTGGTGATTCCCTACCGCCACGATTATTTTCTCCTCCATTTTTTGACATATGAGGAAATGAACTGCGGTCTGGCTCTCCCAACATACACGCGGTTTGATTGGCTAGCGCTTGTACTGGCAGATTTGCATACGCGGGATTTGATTGGCTGACGCTACGCTTTGCTCCCACAATGCAGTTCGGCAAAGCGTGACGTCACCCCATTCAAAGTGAATGGGCAGAAGCGTTGAAGCGGCAACGCACGCCGCCGTGTGTAGGCGGCGTTACAACCGAGGGAGAGGTGAGTGAAGCGCAGCGGCTGCTAAAGCCGGTCAGGGACAGTGAGGTGGAACGGTGTGTTGGACGACAATGCGTGTATACATCGGAGCTCCGCCCACTGTACCCATAGAATCCAGTAGAGGGCGGAGCCTGTGAGAGATATAACGAGGGGTTACGTATTGTAACCCTTGTTATATAAGCACAGGCGGAGCCCTCTACTCGGGGCACTGTCTGTCCTATACCGCTCGCTGAAGAGAGGTGTAGGATGACGGTCAGGAGGCGAGGCCTCCTTTTATACGGTGAGATGCGTGCGCATTCAGGTAGGCCCGCCCCGGGACCGGCTACATCTATAGAAGTCTCAGTAGGTGAATGCTTGCATGATAAGGTAGTACCCATAGAGTCCAGTAGAGGGCTCCACCTGTGCTTATATAACAAGGGTTACAATACGTAACCCCTCGTTTTTTGCATACTGTGCACCAATCACTCTGTGTATTGAGTTAAAGTCACACATTTTAGTCCATTGATACATTTCTAAAAGCTACTTTCCTAACAAACACGGTGCAGTTGTAGCAATCGCTACAGATCACATATCTGATCATCTGTGAAAAGCTAAATTATGTCAGAAATTGACACAGCTTTTTCTTGTGTTGAAAGACATCAGCAGGTCAATGTTACTTTGGTTGTGAACGCACCGAACTCTGTCTGTTATTGCTTGTATATCCTCCCTGTGTGTGTAACGTGTTTAAAAACACAACAGAGTGGGGGAAGACATTTCCCTCTGAGGGATTAATAAAGTATATCTTCTTCTTCTTCTACTTAGAAATCATAAGTGAACGGTCACATTAGGTTTGCCTGCAGTGAATGCTGACAGCTATGAGCTAGTTAATAGATTTATGATGGCATAGACAAATGTCTCCTATATAACCCACAGTATGGCTGTTACTTGTGGGTTATAGCATCATTTTATATCTGTATTGTGCTCTGGTAATTCGCACCCTAAGTACCTTAAGTACCTTAAGTACTGTTAATAACAGTCAACTTTTTTGTTGTTGTATTTAACTCTATGGTTTTACACAGTTTTTATAACCTGAAATTCACATATTTAACAATTCAATCCTCAAAGTAATACAAGTCAAAATGTGTTCAAATGTAGTTTTTTTTACTATAATAGGATAGTCAATACCTGTGTTTTTTCAGTTTATCAATGTAAAGTAGTGGTTAAATTAAGCAAAATTACAAAATATTTCTTTCTTTACTCATATATTTTCTTGCAATTAGATATGTTTTAAATGAGTATTAACAGTATTTTTTATGTATTTGACAGTGATATATAGCCATAACAAAAATGCAGCTACTTTTGCCAACAGAAAATCATTAATTTTACGGTTAGTTTTGTTAAATTCGCATTTAAAAACTGCTAAAAAACAGATAAATAATGTATTCCATTTATACCGTTTTTTTTTGTTTAAATACATCACACATTTCAATAAACCGTTTATTCTTGTCATTTTAATATGATTTCCTGTAATTATGAAATACAATAAAAAACAGTTAATTTTGTCATCTCCTGCTTTGTATTCTCCCAGAACTACACTTAAATGTTTAATAACAGCAAATGGAAAAGCTTTCATTGACTTAATACATGTTTTCATCATCATGTGTTCATCAATCAAGGATTTAGTAAGCTTGAATAAAATGTTACAGGTTTTTATTTTCATAACCAAAGTTCATAAAGAGCATTGTCAATAAACAGCAAAACTACTATTAATGAAGAAAAAAAGTACATAACATTACATACACTACATTTCAGAGGGAAATTGTTTACTTTTTAATTTATTAATTTAACAGTTCTTTCTAATCATTTTTCATACAAACATATGCTATGCCAAAGAGTACATGTGTTGTGACCGCTTGTCAAAAAGGCACCATCTAGTTTCAGATGATTTTATTTACATTTCTGGTCACGGTCCTAATAAAGTTGAGAAAAGTAAAACAAATTACAAATCTGTTTCTTCCCCTTCAGTCATTTACCCTTCATGATTATTATGTGATTGGCAGGGGCTTGGAAAAGGGTGGAAAAATAGTTGGCTTCTTAAGTAATTAAACTAGCTCATCCTGCACACATGTATGCAATACACATGCTTTACATTTTTTTTTTTTAAATGTTTAAAGGGTCGGTGTTCTTTTACCATTTGTTTAAAGTTTATATTAGAGTCCCCACAAGGTTCTATTACCCACCTGCTGTGCAGCAAATACTGTTAATCATTTAGTTTTAAACTTGGTTCATCTTAAAAACAGAAGTTCCCCTGCCACCGTAAAATGCAAGTTAACTGAACTGAGCTTCATTCATTTGTTGAAGGTCATCTTAAGAGTTATGTGTATGGTGGTCGACAGGTGCACGCGCTACAACAGTCAAAAACACTTCCTTTGGGAGAAATGCGCTGCTATTTAAAAAAAATGCAAATATAAAAACACAAATGTGCTGAAACAGATGCAAATGAAGAAGCATTTTTACCAACTTGACAACACATGACCAGCATTTAGAAAACATTGCAAAAATTCACCGCAAGGAGCTCAAAACCCAACAGAAACTGTTTCCAGGGGACACTATAAAGTGATGCACACAGCTTATTGTTATTGGGACGGTCACCGGAATCGTACGTAAAAGGTTTTATGGGCTTATTTTAACAATGTGATCACATGATTCTTTCATATATTTTGCAGATCTGCTGTAAGCTAGTTAGATAGCTAATTAAGTCATTTTAAATATACTGAAAAAACACTTACAGTTATGAAACCGACTAACTGTGTCTCATAATTATTTGTGTGAACAGAAAAATAATTTGTGTGTAATAAATATGTGATTTGTAAATGTATAACACACCATCCACAAATGCATTTAAAAGATTTGCAAACTCACAAAATGAGAGGATTGATTTTAATGCTATAGGTCTACATTCACTCGACTAGTCATTTAAAGTGAGGAGAACTCTTTTTTATCCACAATGATGGATTACATTCACTACATTTCTGTTTGATGCTTCACAATGCTAAAATACTTCTGTGATAGATATTTTCTTTCATTCTGTATCTGTAGGGGAAACTTCTGAAGCAATTGGAGTCAACACTCAGAGAGACACGAGGAGAGCTGGAGCTTTGATGGCAAACACTGATGGTTTATTTGGAGCTTCGGCCGGAGAATTCACAAGAGGCAAGACATGTCACGGGCCACGAGTTGAGATGCCACAATCAATTCTGAAGAACCCAGACCCATGTATTTAGCTAGTTCTGAGAGAATAATCAACATTGTGCATAACAAGATAGAATCATAACACCTCTATCAGCTGACGCCAACAGGCAGGAACAGGAAGACAAAACACTGAGAGCACAGTAGCCAAGGTTGCAGGTGCCTGTGCTCTGTCAGGACAGTATGAACTGATAAACTGGGTCAAAGTTATGGGCCTTGGGAAATATTTCCCCAACAGTATCTAACATATATTTTGCATCAAAAAGATAGATACAGACCAGCAGGCTTGTTTAGGATCATCTGCATGTCTGTGTGAGTATTTAAAATCATGTTAATAGTTAATACCCAGAGCAGAACGTACACTGCGGTGTGTCTGCTGTCGTCATCACGCAGCCAAGTAGGTGGGATGACGTATACAGCCCCGGCCCCTCCCCCTCCCTTCCCTCACTCGGTTCTTCCTCGGATGCTGAGACCGAGCTCCTGTGCACGCGGGCTCTCGCAGTGGCTCAACCCCTCCTCCTCCTCCCCTTCTTCCTCCAAAGATGTCGCATGAGCTGCTCCTCTCACCGCGGCGTCTGTTTTCTTTTTGTGTTATCATTTTCTCACATGCCCTTAACACTTCCTAACCTAATTCTGTCAAATTAGCAGCTCTCACCGCTGGGAGCAGAACCCCTGTCTCGGGGCACGGACTGCCTCCCCCCTCCTATCAACGGAGGTGTTTAAACCCTCAACCCGGCGCATTCCTCTCTCTCTATCGCGCTCGCGCGCGCTCGCGCGCGCGGCGCGCGCGCGCGCGCTCTCTTCTATCTCCTTTCGCTCTCTATCGCTCTCGCTCTCTCGGCACACACAACACACACACACACACACACACACACACACACACACACACACACACTCTCTCTCTTTCTCCCTCCCTCTCTCCATCACTCTCTCTCCCTCTCTCTCTCTCTCTCCTCCTCGCTGCAGAACTCCGGCGACCATCCGTCAGTGTGGAGCGCGCGGAGCGGAATATTCATCAGCACCGTCGTCGTCTTTCATCCCTCCGTCGTGGACTCCAGCAAGCCCGGTCCCCCCCTGTGTCCCTTCATCGGTCCGGGACATTCTCCGCCTCCACGCACACGCAGATTAACGGGATTCTGCCCTCCTGCTCGCGCGCTGATGCTGATGTCCTTGAGCTCGGCCTGCACGGTGAGTCGGTGAGTCCGTGCGTGCCCGCGTGCGTGACTGTTATTTACCCCGGGCGCCCGAGCGCGGTGTTAATAAGGGGAGATGGTGAGGTTCATCAGGGCAGCAGTGGTGTTTTTTTTTTACCGGACTTAGGACTGTTAAGCAGGCCTGATGTGGAGCTCACTGCACAGGCCTTCAGCTGTGATAACAGCTATGTAGTAGGACATACCATAATGCTCCGGCAAACAGCGCTCTGACATGATAAGATATAAGGCTATGTGAGTGCGCCTGTGAGCGCGACGATGTGCCTGTGTAGAGCTCATGATACATATCCATCCATCCCTCCCTTCGTCCATCCATCGTGTCCGGGCAGTGGTGCGGGCTGCCTCCCACTTCTCCCGGCTGTATGCTGGGGATCAGTGGCGTTGTCTGTCTCGATTACGGCGCGTCGCACCTGCAGCGCTGAGCTGCGGGGGTGTACATTTGATCTGGTAATGATCTGTGGCCGGAGGGACCTCCCCGAGTCTGCCTGCTCAGGCTCGGTGTGAGTTCTGGCTGAGCCGGCCGGCGGTGGCCGGGCCGGTAACCTTGCGGAGGGACACAGGGTGAGCATGTGGCGCACCATAGGATACTCTCTCTCTGCTGGCGCTCTGAGCAGGCCTAAAGTGTGGCTTCTCGGCATGAATCACGATCTTGTTGCCATATGTGTGAGGAGGGGGAGAGCTAAGAAGCTCAGGCACGTCTGAAGGTGACCAGGAAAGGTCGTTCTGTGTGTGAAGCACGGTGTTAAACAGAGCCATTCCTGCTCAGGAGTGCACTGTCCTGCTGGCAATTGCATGTATTAAGAGTGTGTGTGTGTGTGTGTGTGGGGTGTGTGGTGTGTGTGTGTGTGTGTGTGTGTGTGTGTGCGTGTGTGCGTCTGTGCATGTGTGTGTCTGTGCATGTGTGTGAAATGGATACACATCAGTGGAGTCACTACTGGGACCTTTTTTCATTCTTCCCAAATCCAATCCCTAACAGTCACCATCCTCCTCCGCCTCATCCTCACTGTCAGCATCCTCTCGTGCTTCACTGTACGAAGCTGTGCTGCAGATCTCTGTCTGTTCTCCTGTCGCCGAGCCTGCGATGGCAGTGCTGTTACAGATACAAGGGCCCGCCAGAGGTGACCCCCCTCAGATGCCTGTCGAAAAGTAGGACTGCGTGTGCAGGTGTCCAAAACACTGTTCACACACGCACACACACAGAGCATGGGTCAACAAAGTCACTGTGAGGACAATTGTGAGCAAATAAGGTATAGGCAGGAAAACAAAAGTGCAGATATTGGTTAAATCAGATGTGCTCAAGTCTGTTTGATGTACCTAGACAGGTGTGTGTGTGTGTGTGTGTGTGTGTGTGTGTGTGTGTGTGTGTGTGTGTGTGTGTGTGTGTGTGTGTGTGTGTGTGTGTGTGTGTTGAGGAACAAAACTTTAGTTTTTTAATTTATATAATGCAGGCTCACATGTGCACACACACACATGCACGACACATCAGAGACAAACAGAGAGATGCGGTCAGAGTTAGTTGTGATAGTTAGGAGGCTGGACAGAAGAGCTTTTTTCTTGCGTGAGCATTATAAAATCAGACAGAATCAGTGAGTAAGAGAAACATGCTCGAATGGCTGAGTAAATAAATGATTGCAGTAGCAGAAAGCACATGGAGAGGGATGGCAACAAAATGATCATGATGATGAAGGCAGGAGAAAGATGGAAGAGGAGGGGGAAATAATAACAAGCAATGGGACACCACAAACCAAGGCATGACAAACGGCAAATCCATGCAGAGAAATACTGATAGATATATGGGAGAGCAAGGCAAATAAGGAAAGATGGAGCGGGAGGAAGCTTCAAAGGCAGAGCAGGGTGACTCAGTCATAAACTCACACTCTCAGTCAGGATAGAGGCATGAGAGAGGGAACGGGGGGAGAAGATGCAAGAGGCAGAGGGAGAGTGAGGAATAGAGAGGAGGGAGGAGAAGAAGAGGAATTAACGACGAGATCCTTATATAAAACACCCCGGTATGGCAGAATGTGGTTGTGTGTGAGAGTATTGAGTTACAGGCAGCGCTGATTGCTCATGTGAGGTGAGGCTTGGTCTCACTCCAGGAGGCTAAGGCTGCTGTTGTATAGGAGCGTACAACAATACCACTGTCAGGTCTGGTTTTAAGTAACATTACATGGGTTCATAAAGGATCAACGTGGGTACTAATCTTTTCTTTGAGTATTACCAACAATCCCATGAAAGGGTTAACCCTTATCCTAACCCAACAATGAACTGTGCTATAGAGCTTCGATGTTCATAAAGGATTAAAGACATTGTTGCAAATTCAACAGAGAACCAAATGTTGCTGTTTGAGAAACTACAAAAGTACAGTTTCCAGAAAATGACTTAGCATTCAATTCAATTAAATTAATGAATTTTAAAGATTTGTATCTTATGTCGGAACCAATGGGCTCAAGCTGCGAGTTGTGCCATGTTAAGGATTTGTTCTTTTCATAATTTTTAAATAATATGTATACTAAGAAAGAGTCAGAGCATAACTCAGCCAGGTGTGTCTTCCTCCCCCACCCTAAATAAAGAGTTGAGTCTCACTAAATTGTTCATCCCAGCTCCCTTACAGTGAAGGCATTTATGAATCACTTAAAATTGTAAATGGACTACTTAAATAGCGCTTTATCTGGTCTTCTCGACCCCTCAAAGTGCATTTACACACAACATGTCATTCACCCTTTCACATCTCATTCATACAGAGCAGTGCCATGCCATTGGGTGCAATTTAGGGTTCAGTATCTTGCCCAAGGATACGTCGACATGTTGACTGCACGGACTGGGATCGAACCCACAACCTTCTGGTTGAAAGACAACCGCACTCCTGCGCAGCCACTGTCACCCTATTTTGACCTTTTCAGAGCATTTTACCATCTTTTAATCCAGAGTTCTGGTTTCATGGCATGCAAAGTCACTGTTTATGTTGAGTCCCATGGCTCTCATCTGTAAAGCGGAGTATTAAGCAGGTAACTAGACTGATATTTAACTCAGGAGTTGTTGAAGGACTACTGTATTTATCCAGTATTTACGACACCTCAAAGCGCTTTACATTTAGAAGTCATCAGCATGCTAACATTCACACACACTCACACACCGTGGCTATAGGGAGCAACTTGGGGTTAAGTATCTTGCCCAAGGATACATCGACATGTTGCTGGGTAATACATCTGATACACACAGACGGGGTAATACGGGGATAATACATCAACCCACAACCTTCTGAATGAGAGACGACCACTCTACCTTGCAGCCACAGTGTCAATGAACTTCAAATTCTTACGAACACTTAAGATATTTTAATTTAACTGTTAAAAACAAATAATAGAAAATAACTGAGATGGACTCTGTAAACAAGAGACTCAGCTCCAAATGAATACAAGTAAATGAAATACGCCACTGTTGATGTACTTTATCAAATGTGCCGGTGCTCTGTTAACAGCTTGTTGTGCTGCCTCCAAGTGGCTAAAAAAAGGAAAACGTTTAAACATTGCATGGATTGCGACAAATGTGTTCACGTCGCTAAATGTTGTGGGACCACTGAGCACATGTCCAGGTGTTTTACAGGGCTGTTATCAAGTGAATCCAGTCTGAGTATAATGAGAGATCAATAGAGCTGATGTTTTATCTTTTGTTTTGATCTCATTCCCTCCCAGGTCCTGGTGGTGCAGAAGTAGCTACCTCTGAACTGGATCCACTTCCTGTCTCCAATTTATCAGCTGCCTTTGCATTGCTCACCCCTCTCTCCATCCGTCCATCACCCCTCCATCTCTGTCTGTGAGTCTGTCAGCCGTCCGCCCGTCTGTCCATGGACTGGCGGTGACCCTGGAGGGAGGGGGACAGAAAAGAGGAAAAAGTGGAGTCGCAGAGGAGACGAAGGATAGAAAAAAGCTGGATTCATTCAGACATCACGCTTCTGAAGTGCCCCTGCTTGCTATTCTTGATCCCCCTCACCCCCCTCCTCCTCCTGTTATGGAGAATTAAAGGAGCAGCGGGAGGCTAGGCCAAAAGTGAGGAGAAAAAAACATAAACCACCAGCGACCCCTCATTGCCCTCAAATGAAATAAAAAAGGGTTTAGCTGTATCGTTATAATCTCACATTTTTAAGTAAGAAATCAAGCAAACCAAGATTCTGATTGCACATGAACAACCCTCCACCAACCAAACGAAAGAGGAACTGAGTTGAGGACAGACTACGGAGAGAAAGGAGGACCAAAACAGAGAAGAACCTTACTGACATGTCAACAACTGCCACTATGGGTGAAATGGCAAACAGCGCGGTGGAGTTTTACCCCAAAGGGGCGCGAGGCACTGGCTCAGTAGGAAGGGCAGAAGGCAGCCAAGCAGGGGGAGACTTTGGGGTCACGGTGACGGAGCTCGCGGAGCTGATGGAGCTGCGAGGGACCGATGCCCTGCAGAAGATCCAGGAGAGCTACGGAGACACAGACGGGCTCTGCCAGAGACTACAGTCCAACACCACAGAAGGTGAGCGGCCATGAAGGGTTGAATGGTTGAAAAAGTAGATTGAATGAAATATGTAGGAGTAGATGGATGACTGGATGCGAGCCATAGGCGTCTTTTATACTGGGGACGCTGGGGACATGTCCCCTCCACTTTTGGAAATGGCCAATTTTGTCCCTACCACTTTGCATTCGAATAATTTGTTTAAAATGTTCTGAAAATAGAGTGCACAAATAATTGTACACTTTGAGAACACTTTTATTTGCACAAGAGAACATGTCCAATGTGGAGGACTGTTCTCACTCTCTGGGTGTCTTTCTGGTGACCCAAGTGGACACGTTTCATATTAGGAATAAATGAATAGAGAATAGTAAAGCAATTGCTGCTCCCGCTTGGCAGCAGCGTAGTTAGTGCACTAGTTTTTTTTTTAAAGTATTGTAAGCATAGGTATGTACAGTATATATGTTTGTTTGGGGGGGGGGCGCTTAATGCAGTGGTGTTTTGTTTTTTTTATCGGGAGAAAGTGTTCCTCCATTTTTTCTAACAATGAGACATGAGAGCCCATGTATGAAAAAACGGATGGTTGGGTGGATGAGATTCATGAAAGGGTGAATAGATTGCTGGCCTGATGGATGGAATAGCAGAGTGGATACATGGAGATGGGTTAACAGTGACATGATTAGGCACACTGAGATGAGTGGATGGATGACTCTTGGGTGAAGTCATACCACTGCATGAGTCCATTTGTTTAAGATCATTTTTATGCAACATTTAACACAAATGGAACACGACAGCATTCATTTAGCTTTACTCATGCATTATTCCTACACAGCACTTCCATCAAACAGTACAAACACATTGTATTCAGGGAGTCTAATCCTGGTTGGGATGGTCTCCTGGATGGATTGATTGGTGAATGGGTGATGGGATTATAATGGATGAATGGATGGAAAGTAAATCCACAAATGGATGAGCAGAGTAAAAGTGTACAAGGACTGACTAGAATCTCAAAAAGCACACCTGCAATAATGGCATAACAAGTGAAGGTCCAGGTAGAAGTGCAACTATTTTCATTGTTCTTTGAATGAATACAATAATGATGTTAGGGCAACACACACACACACACACACACACACACACACACACACACACACACACACACACACACACACACACACACACACACACACACACACACACACACACACACACACACACTAATGGACAAGAGCACTTTGATATAATTATGCTTGTCAAAGATCTTCAATCCCTACTTTAGGTAGAATTTGGGTTACTGTCTCTAGTCTCTCTCTGTGTGTGTGTGTGTGTGTGTGTGTGTGTGTGTGTGTGTGTGTGTGTGTGTGTGTGTGTGTGTGTGTGTGTGTGTGTGTGTGTGTGTGTGTGTGTGTGTGTGTGTGTGTGTGTGTGTGTGTGTGTGTGAGAGAGAGATAGATGGAGAAGAAGTGAGAGAGTTGGTGGGTGTTAAGTTACAGTAAGTCTGTGTTGAGTGTTGCTAATTCGATACTGTGAGCTGGTCAGGAATCAGTGCAGCAGGTCCCAACAAACCCAGCGCACACTTACACACACATACACACATACACACAGATTCATGTTTCTGCAGTTGTCCCTACAAAGCACAGTTGGCAAACAACCACACTAACGCTGCTCTGCATACACTTGGATTGGCTTGTTTGGCACTGTGCCGACTTTCACTAATTACATATTGGTGTCATCTTGCATGGTTAACCATGTTTCCAAAAAACATGTTCCTACCTGGGCCTGTCACATACTTTTGTTGGGTAATATATTGTGCCATAAATAATAGAGATACAACATTATTGTTATGTTAAGACAGTTGTATGGCACTGATTTTATGATAATAGTATTGCATAATAATTAAAGTACGCATTTTTAAAGATCAGTGGTAAATGTACTGTATTTATCCAGTATTTACGACACCTCAAAGCGCTTTACATTTAGAAGTCATCAGCATGCTAACATTCACACACACTCACACACCGTTGGCTATAGGGAGCAACTTGGGGTTAAGTATCTTGCCCAAGGATACATCGACATGTCGCTGGGTAATACATCGATACACACAGACGGGGGTAATACGGGGATAATACATCAAACCCACAACCTTCTGAATGAGAGACGACCACTCTACCTTGCAGCCATAGTGTCAATGAACTTCTTTGAAATTCTTACGAACACTTAGACATTTTAATTGAACTGTTAAAAACAAATAATAGAAAATAACTGAGATGGACTCTCTGTCTCTGTAAACAGATATGTCATGTCATGACATTCCTATAGGGAAAAGTGTATTCTCCAAAACGGGCAATATCCAGGTCAAAATGATATGGTAATTTATATAATTATCGTATATATATATATATATATATATATATCCATACATGAATATCCTACGATAAGTATATCAATTAAGAACATATGTATTGTAAGATAAGTCGATAATGAGACATTGTAGATGGTAAAATGTTATGCAAACCTGTTGAACTGTGTGGCGATCAAACGTTTTATTATTTCCTGAAAATGTAATCAAATGTGCAATAACCAGATCAAAAATGTCATAAAATACAATGATGTAAAAACCTGACCAATAATGTCATTCAATGTCAACTCTTATTCTAATAGCATTTCACTTTAGTTGAATGCATCTTTTCCTGATAACAATGTGCGCTTGCACATTTTTGAAAAAACGTTTACATTAATTTATTATTGGTCAAAATGATGGTCCGGACATTTAATTGCATTATTGGACAAGGGTATTACACTATTGGCTCTTGGTACATTTTCTTTGAGGTTAAATGCTTTTTTAAATTTAAATGTTCAGGCACTATAACATTTTCAGCTAATAACTACTTTATAGAATGCTACAAGCCATAATGTTACATTTTATATAAGAACATACATACGTTTTACATAAGTGTTGTCACTGAACCAAGCTGTGCAACTACAACAGGAACTGCCATGCATTCCGTTTCTTTATTCAATCAAATTAAAATCTTGTAATGTATCATTCATAATAGTAGCACAGTGTCAGATCTCATAGTTCTTTTAACGTTTACATTTGCTGCATCGGGTTTCATGTTTAACAGCTGTGAAGTGCGCAGTAAACATATCTACACAGGCGAAAGTAGGGGCAAGCAATCAGATTTGTGGTATAAGAGTCAAATAGCGCAACAATGGCCCCTTTTTATGAGAACATGCACCGAGTCTGAGGAATATAGTTACTGTTCTGTTATGTCTAATTGGCAGGGTCAGCTCTAGAACAAATCGAATGGGGGGGGCAATCATTTACCACAGGGGGGGGGGGCACACACTGCCGTCCACAACCAACACACAAACACCAACGCAACTTCAATTTCAAAACATGCTGTAAAGTCTATTGTCTTTCACACACACTGTAGTGTAGTGCTATTTTGTAGCGCACCTATGACTTGTGCAGACATGCACGGTTGTGGCACGACCACCCAAACAGAAACATATGGACATAGGCCACCATATAAAAAGTGTGCAAATGTATTTAGTATCCTATCCATGTGAACATGTTTTAGGTGGAGGGTGGACCTAACTTCATCTAGGGCACATGTGTCAAACTCAAGGCCCGGGGGCCAAATCAGGCCCTTGGTGGATTTAATTTCGGCCCGCAGGATAATTTCTAATTACTATTAGATCTGGCCCGCCGGTATATTGAACGCACACCTTCACTCAATCCTGAGGATTTCCTCAGCTCAGAGCCTGACCCCAAACATTGATGAACTTGCACTCAAGATGAGATGCCAAGTATCCGACTTGAACTAGCATCACAGAGCAGCAAACTGAGTTGCAATGGATGTTTCCTTCTGCACTTTGTTTCTCACGACAACAGGGCATGTTTGGTTTTCTCTTTGAGGGAAATTGTTTTTTTGAAGCTGTTTCTGAAGGCCTGTGGAAAAATGTAATCATAAGAAATGACTCTGGAAAAGCTTCACATAGAGCCATAAGAAATGAATGCAACTGATTATTTAATGTTGTTTTTATAGGCAATCATTTAAGCTTTGTTAGTTCCAGGTTTAATACTGTATGTGCAATAAGTTCATTTCAATAAGTTTTGCAATAAACATTGAACCAGTCCGGCCCTCGACTAGTACCGATTTTTTAATTTTGGCCCACTGTGTATTTTAGTTTGACACCCCTGATCTAGGGGGTCCGGGGGCATGCTCCCCCCGGAAGATTTGTTTTAAAATATTGAAGTTAAAAGCATCAATCTGGTGCACTTTGAGAGCAACATGGAGAGATCTATGGATACATCTCTCAACACCCATATGAAACAGAACTGTAAACAGATTTACTTTTTCTTTATGGATATTTTACAAATCACTCCCCTTTTAAACTTTATTCTTTTTTACTGTCATATAGTATTTCATACCAGTTTTTAATGTATTCTCTTATTTTTTAATAACTATAATGATCATATAAAGGTGTTCCTCGGAAATACTTGTTTACATAAATGGTGACCAAACCGTTTGAGACCCACTGAGATAACTTACACTTAAGTTAAGTATCTAAGCCCTGAATGGACAAAGCCCAAAATACCTCTGTGACCTCATCCGTACCCAGACATCTACCCGCTCTCTACGCTCCAGCCACGCTCCTCTTCTTTACATCCTCCGCACACGTCTCCGAACTCTGGAACTCCTTCCCAGATCAGCTGAGATCTGCCCCTTCCACCGAGGTCTTCAAAACCAGCCTTAAGACCCTCTTCTTTCGGCAGGCCTTCCAATAAACTTGGAGCATGGTACACCTGTAGTATTGTCATTTTTATCGCTATCTCCGACTTTTATTTTATTTATTTATCTTTATTTAATTTTATATTTAATTTTAATTTTTATTTAATTTTGTTTTAATTTTTAATTTGTATTATTATTATTGTTTTAATCTCTCAAATTGTATCAGTGTTCTTTGCTGTGAAGCGCTTCGAGATTTGTCTTGTCCTTTACCTCACTGAGCTGTAGTTATCTGAGCCTCTCAGTCTGACAGGAGAGGACTCTCCTCCACCTTGGTGTAGAAACAGCTCTTTATAACCGTTAGCATAGCTAGCTAACCAGATGCTAACAACAACAAAATGCGCTCGTGCCACACACACACAGAGCCGAGCTTGAATGAAACACAGAGACCCAGAAGTACTTGTACTGTACTGTATCATATTATTTTCGATGACTTTACTGTATAATCAGTGTAACAGATGAACAGATCGCCATTGGGCTTACAACTTTCTTTCTTTCTTTAGCCTTTATTTAACCAGGTTAAAAATCCCATTGAGATCAACGATCTCTTTTTCAAGGGAGACCTGCAGTACATTGGTTACACATAAAAACAACAGAAAACAAAAAGGACATCACAATAATTACAGGGGTACAAATTAGCAACCTATTTACAATGACAGGTATCTAATAACATTTCATCCAGCCGTGCTTTAAAATGATGCAGGGGAATCAAAATGCTAAACACACAGCCACGTAATGACAACAAAACAAAGGTCGGGGGTCATTGGTCTAGCAACACACCAATCAACGAGCAGCAGTGAGCACACCTCAGGCTGTGTTTTTTATTTGTATTCTTTATTTCTGATTTATTTCACATAAAAAACATTTAGTGGAAACGTTTTTCACTTATAATATGATAACAAAAAACAAAAAAACGGCAAAGTGGCAGGGCTTGCCTGCCCTGCGTTGGGGGGGCACAGTGACTCGTTTGGGGGGGCATGGCCCGCGAATGACCCCCCATGAAGCCGACCCTGCTAATTGGAGAGAGGTTTATTATTTCGTTTTAAGCCAGATAATGCAGATAGAGCCTCTGTCCAATGTTTTTTGTAGTACCCCGCTCTGATGTTAGGCAAGAGCTGCTGCCTCTTCCTAGTATAATTACAATAACACTGATCACAGAGGAGGAACAGGAATTGGCAGATCACAAAGACAGATGTAAAGCATGGGTATATACATGGGAAAATACTCATACTAACAGAAATACATATTTAGCATCGGTGCTACAAAAATAGATTGCGTACTGTATGACACACACACACACACACACACACACACACACACACACACACACACACACACACACACACACACACAACACACACACACAAACACTGGAGTAACGCAAACATTATGATGCAATTGATACTGAGCATCATTTGTAATACACAGAGTGGGGGTTAAACCAATACAGAATGGGATATTACTCTTTATGTCTCTCTCTCTCTCTCTCTCTCTCTCTCTCTCTCACACACACACACACACACACACACACACACACAACACACACACACACACACACACACACACACACACACACACACACACAGCACACACACAACACACACACAACACACACACACACACACACACACACACACACACACACACACCAGAGAGATATGGATACCCCATCGCTGCAGGATGAGACTGCTATATCCACATTGAAGGCACAGAAAAGAGGAGGCGGAGAAATGATGTAAAGGAAAGAGGGAATGAGAGAAAGAAAGTGTGTTTGTATAAGCGTGTGTGTGTGTGGTGGGGGGGTGCCGTTGTGGGGGGGAAGGGTTGTGAGGAGTGAAAGCTAGAATAGCTTGCCGCATTGTCAAGGACACATCAAGGAGAGATTGAGAGGGGGAGAAAAAGAGAGGAGGAGAGCCAACGAGTGAGGATGAGGAGGAAGGGAGGAACAACAGGATGGGTGAGAGATGGAGGGAGGGAGGGAGGATGGACTAATGGAAGCAGGACACAGCTCGCTACGATTACTCAGCATAAGGTCACCTGTTTCTCCCTGCCTCTGAACCCTGTTGAGCATCGTACTGCCACACCAGTGAGGCAGAGCGCTGCGGAGCTGCATGAGTCCCTGCGGCACATCGGAGCAGGATATCTGTGCACACGCAGGCAGACGGACAGAAGGACAGACGGACAGACGGACACACACAGTCACAGATCACGGCCAACCACAGCATACAAATTGCCATTCCCCCTCCCTAACAGCCAATACAAAAAAGTAAGCTCTGCTCTAAAGCAAGCACACTGAAGAAATGACATCACCTGTTGCTGGGCAGAAACCTGTTAGAGACAGGAAGCCCTGGACCTGATATAATGGTCACCATGGAAACTGAATTACTTAGAGGGGAGGTCGAAGGGGGAGAGGATGGAGAGGATGGAGATGTGAAGAGACCGAGTTTTGAGAGGGGAAGTAAAGTTGGAGTTAGCAGCGTAAAGTCCTACATTTTTGGGGGATTCTTACATGTTGTGTGAGTGACTTGTGCCTGTGTGTCCTGGCATTAAACTCTTAACTGCTCAACACTCTTTATCTACACCTTTATGGATGACAGTGAACCCGGGATATTTAATATGTCAAGGATTCACTTAAGCCCGCGTCACACTGTCCCGAAATTGACACCAGATGGACACACGATAAAGGAAATGTTCAAATTCGGCTCTGATCGTAACAACATCGGGCCATTCGTGAGGGCATCTTAAGCCATCGTATGACCGCCGGTGGAGATTCATGTAAACATATTATGTAAATACCATCGGGAGGTCACGTGACGCCTTCGTGACCTAGTTTGAACGCATCGTACTCTCAATACGATGCGTCGTGTAGCCATCGTGTGGCCTTCGTGTGTCCTGCGGGTATAAACTACTATAAAAATGCACATCTTCGTGTTGCCTTCGTGTGTGGTTCGGGTGCCATCGTGCAATCTGTAGGCATCGTACTTGCTTCGGCTGTTGCTTGGCTGTTGACCAAGTTCGGGGCCATCTTCGTGCGAAATTCACAATTCCATATTCGTGTGTCCATCTGGTGTCAATTTCCGGACAGTGTGACGCCAGCCTTACTGAAATACTGAAATAAACCTTTAAAACTTTCATTTAAGGGGGAGATACTACAGGTGAATAGGAAATCTGAACTGATTAATATCATCACGAAGCTACCCCAGTTGAAACATTAAGACCATTTATTTTTGCATAATGCTTTCTTAAAGGCATTATTGCACATTTTGCCTGTAGTGTCTAATGTTAAAATAGAATAAGACTCACTTGAGTTGTGTATTTCCCATTGTGTGTGCAGACATGTGTAGTTTATTCTTGCTGAATTTGTGATTTTATTACTTTATTTACAGAAAGAAATGTGCTAACACTTGTCTGTCCCTTCATGCGTCTCTGTCTCTCAGGTGTCAGTGGAGACCCAGCAGACATTGAGCGTCGGTGCCAAGCGTTCGGCGCAAACTTCATCCCCCCGAAGAAGGCCAAGACATTCCTGGAGCTGGTGTGGGAGGCCTTACAGGACGTCACACTCATTATCTTGGAGGTTGCTGCCATCATCTCCCTCGGACTCTCTTTCTACCAGCCTCCAGGAGGTGATACCGAAGGTGAGAGCAGGGCCAGGAGGGGCTGGGCAGCAGGGTGTGGGAGGGGATGAGAGGAGGTTAGGCAGTAAGGGCAATAGTTGGGGAGAGACATAGAGAGGTGGTGAGGAGGATGAATCATCATTTGCCTTTTTGATAAAGGTTAATTTTTAAATGTAATTTTTCTGTGACACAAGTAACAAAGAAACATGAATTGACAAGTCCATCCCAATTCAATCTGCTGATGAAGACTGTAAAATGCTGTAAAAAATAGCTAGTAAGTGGACCTTGAGTTAGTATAATTTGGTTCATCTCCAAGAATAATCTTTGACATTCAAGAGGGATAAAATCAGCAAACTTACTCAGTAATCTCACTCAGACAGCAATATGTAAATTCCCCGTAAGTGGTCATACAGTCTGCATAAGGCTGTAGCAGCAAAACCAATAATTGTTTAATAAAAAAAAATGGTTATGAAGGAATGGACTACGGACTACTTAGTGTAACAGTAAAACAAGTAAAGAACAGCCATAACGTCAGCCCAATGAACAACATTGCATATCAAACTTTGCTAATATTAACCACCATAAACTAGGAGTCATACCAGACCAAGTAGCACTGCAGCAGCACAATATTCATTGAGATCTGTTTTGCGCTGTAACCTCTATTCTGTTGATAAAGTAGGTCAATTCTTTTTTATTCTTGCGCCTTTAAAATAAAGCACACTGAAACAAAAGACCAGTGACACATAGCACTGGTGATAGGGAAGAGCCTTGCTAAAATGACCTCAACAATTGCACACTAACTGACCCAAGACCATTTCTTAGGTTTGAATACAGATATCAGTTATTTATTACATATACATGTCACATAAAAAATGATTTGATCATTATTGAAATTGTGTATAAATGTGGGTGGATATGTTGTGACGACTGACATAGCATGAACCAGTAACGTTAGCGTTAGCTAAACACAATCAGGTTTTGATTCCTCAGTGGATTTAAGCAAAATGAGAGGAAGTATTTACAATGTTCAAAAACATTTGAGGGGTCAGTTACTGCGCTGTCACAATGTAACCTCTTAATGCTGAAGAGGAGTTGGCACATGAGCTGTTTTAAGCTAAATGAACAGATGTTAGCAGGCTATCCACATCACCCTGGGATTTACTGTCACAGAGGAACAGCAAGGCTGGTTTAAGCGAGGCCGCTCTTTTGTTCTTACATAGTTATATTACCTGCATCTTGCAGTGATACATTTGGCTGAAGAAACAAAAAGCTTAATGGTTGCCATTAGCTCTCATTGTGTGTTTACCACAGTGAGAGGTCCTCATAGAGAGGATGTGGGCTCAGTGAACAGGACGCTGTGCCTCTGTCTGAAACCAACTAGTTCCCATAGAAAACCGCAGCACACACAAACACATTTATTTAGTTAGGTAGCAATAATCTAGGTATTGAATAATCGTTTAAATAAAAGTAAATTATATAAATATTTTTAAAACTGTAGAAAGAGCCAGCCTCCTTTAGGAGGTTTAGAAATCTGTCCTCTTTCAGTTTCAGCTTGACCCATTTATTTAAATTTGGATCGCAGGTTGTCTTTAACTTTACTTTCCATCATACATCCAATAAATTAAGGGAAATAAAAAAACAGCTGGTACTTTGAGTAGGTTAAATACAAATATATCACGTCTGGCTGTATATTTCACAACAAATCTAACCAAGTTTCCTCTGCCGCCCTCTCTCCAGCATGTGGGGTAGTGCAGGGGTCTGCAGAGGATGAAGGCGAGGGGGACACCGGCTGGATCGAGGGCGCCGCCATCCTACTGTCTGTCGTGTGTGTTGTCCTGGTGACGGCGTTTAATGACTGGTCCAAAGAGAAGCAGTTCCGGGGTCTACAGAGTCGGATCGAACAAGAACAGAGGTTCGCTGTGGTGCGTAAAGGAAATGTCATACAGATCCCGGTGGCTGACATGGTGGTGGGGGACATGGCCCAGGTCAAATACGGTAAGGAACCCATCATGAACGCTTATTGCAAAAAGGAGCAGCATTATATAAATAGTTTACTGCTAACCCCATTTATACCTTTTTTGCTTTGACTTGAAATGGTAAAGCCTGCATTTGTGCAAAAATAAATGATATCTCTTTTTTAACAGGAAGTTGTAATGCTCCTGTCTGGACCTTTCTGGCTCTTGACACAATTTTAAAAATATATTACAATATCACAATGTAACTAAGTTGCATCTTAAAATACACTGTTCCTGCTGGGAGTTTGATGAGAATGTACATACCATGTTGATACAGCCAGCAGGCAATTAGCTTAGCCTAAAGACTGGACACATCTCAGCTAGCAGCTAGGCAGACCCTTTCCAAACATTAACATTTCCCAAAGTCACCTCCTGGCCATTCAACCTTCTCATCTAAGTCTGCAGAAAAGCCTATTTACTCACTGTAGGAACTACTTCTGCTACACCTGTACTCAGAGGTGGGAAGTAACTAAGTACATGTATTCAAGTACTGTACTTATGTACAATTTTGAGGTACGTGTACTTTACTTGGGTATTTCCCTTTCATATTACTTTATACTTCTACTCCAACAGCTTTATCTACTTTGAACAAAATGCATCCCTCAATATTAAACTAGTGGACGAACTTTTTAAGTCAATGAAAGAGTCCAATTATTTAAATATTTTACATATAGTCAATCAGAGCTTTTTGTCTACAACAGTAACATGTTAGAAATTGCACATATATAAATATCATTATATTCACACATAAAGGTCATTTCTCTGCACAATGATTACTTTGACTTGTTATACTTTGAGTCCATTTAGCTGATAACTGATTGAATGAAAAACATTTTGAAAGTAGGACTTTGACTTTTGACCATAATGTATTGGTACTTTAACTCAAGTAATGCATTTGAATACTTCTTCCAGCACTGCCTGTAGTGCCTCTCTGTATCATGTAGTGGTATGCATAGTGTCCACACAAGATATTGATACATAAATACCTCTGTTGAAATGTCCCTAACTATAAAGGAAATAAACTGTAGGCTGAATCAACTGTGATCTGTGCACGTGTGTGTTCAGGGGACCTGCTGCCAGCTGACGGTGTGTTGGTCCAGTCCAACGATCTGAAGATAGATGAGAGCTCTCTGACCGGAGAGTCTGACCACGTAAGCAAGTCAGTGGACAAGGACCCCATGCTGCTCTCAGGTTTGTGTTTACTCATAACGTTTGTTTGTATTTGCACTCCAACCTGGTAGGCCTACTACTTAGAGGAAATCAAATGGTATCCATTTTTTTCTGTATCGTTATAGATACATTTCAGTGGACACTATAACTGAAGACCTAAATATTCTTAATGGTCCGATTTATATAAAACCTGTCTCTAAAGTGTTTGGCTGAAACACCAAACAGATCATTGTAGCATCCCATAATCCCCTCTGTTTCAGCCCTGTTCCAAAAGTGCTGATTCTGTGTCTGTAGCTTTAAATGCTAAGGAGCTGCTGCTGGCCACGCCCCTCTGAGAGATGATTGGCTTAAAAAACACAATGGTGCTCTAGAGGGATATTTAGGTGATACGTTCGGTCGGATTTACATTGGTTAGTTAGTGGCTAACGGTTGCCCAACCCAACCAAAACATTGTGACTTCACAAAGTGGCTAAATCTGATCAGCTCATTTTCAGACAGGTTTTTAGATAGGTGGATAATTTCCGAATCTCTTAACACACTGGGGACTCATATTTATGTATAAAAGCCATGAAAAAGTGGATTTTGGGTGAATGAAATAAACACCTGGCAATTAAATTAAATTAAATACTATAGCAGGGAAATAAATACTACTAAATGTTACATTTTTATTAGGGCTGTGTCACAATGGTTCAACTTGTTAGGCTACTTGTTGCCCAATTTCTGTGTGTACATGGAATGGATTCATCGACACAAAATAATTATCAACCAGTCCAGTTCCCCTCAGCAACTTTTAAGTACAATTCCTCCCATCCTCCCTCAAGCGACAGCAACCGGCTGTTTTCAGTGAAACATATCTGGTAAACCTGCCTAGCACCAATCGGTATCTTGGACCACTTGGGGATGCACCATTACCTAATGAACATAATTGTTTTTGGTCGTTAAGGTACCCACGTGATGGAGGGCTCGGGCAGGATGCTGGTGACCGCTGTAGGAGTCAACTCACAGACGGGCATCATCTTCACCCTGCTGGGGGCTGGAGAGCTGGAGGAGGAAGGGAAGGATAAGAAAGGTAAGTGAAGGAGAGGAACCAGGAGAGAGACACAAAATACCAACTAAAAATGTTTTGGACTGTATTGAAAAAAGGTTAGAAATAGAAATATCTTTGTTGAAGAATCGGGAAATGAACATTCTAAATATTTAGTGAAACATTAGAAGAACAAATGGTTTGGTTTATGAAATGCAATGCAGTAGTAAACAGACGAAAAGAAGACAGTATCTCTCAAACATCTCTGCCATCTCCATGGACCAATACCTCACACTGCTCTCGAGTCATGTAGTCACACACACATAGATGGATGACTGAATTACCGGGCACAGGCCCATGTGCTGGTAAGATACACACAACGAACACACATCCTGTAAAACAACCTCAAACACAAGAAGGAGAGAAACAAAACAACTTTTACATGTCTGTGCCTAAGGGCCCTCTATCTCATTATCTGGCAGTGTGTGTGTGTGTGTGTGTGTGTGTGTGTGTGTGTGTGTGTGTGTGTGTGTGTGTGTGTGTGTGTGTGTGTGTGTGTGTGTGTGTGTGTGTGTGTGTGTGTGTGTGTGTGTGTGTGTGTGTGTGTGTGTGTGTGTGTGTGTGTGTGTGTACAGTGATTTGGCTGCCTAACTGATTGCAGATAAGAGCTCCAACCGGAAAAACAGCAGTTTAACCTCATCGATAATTTAGACCCCATCCTCATCCCCCTGACCCCCCCCAATCCCCCCTCGTTCTCCCTCTCTCTGCCTATCTGTGCCTCTCACTCGCTCTCCTGTTTTTCCCTTTGCTCTCCCCTGTTTTTCCCTTCCCTCCCTTAATCTGAGAGAGAGAGAGAGAGAGAGGCAGCAGATTGAATCAATTATTGAGAGAGCGGGGGAGAGTGGGGGAGCCGGTGAGATTCAGGGGAGAGTGTTGGTTGGTCAATGCTCGGAGCATTAGTGTCTGCTCAGATTTGTTTAGGAGGAGCCGTGCAGTCAGAGCAGAGCTGCAGACAGCATCAGAAGCACTTAAGGTTAATGTCATTACCCAGGCACTCTCCATGCCTCCACCAGCTCTCCTCATGCATGGGCATGTGTGGCGTTTGTTTGAAAAGGACAAAACACATCCTGGAATGCAGTGGTTTGAAGTAACTAAGTACATTTACTAAGGTACTGTTCTTTAAGTTTCTTTTTTTTTCTTTGATCATTAACAACACTAGAAACTCTGAAATGATAGGTATATTAGCAGTGGTGTAAAGTAACTAAGTACATTTACTCAAGTACTGTACAGTACTAAAGTACAATTTTGAAGGACTTGTACTTTACTTAAATATTAATTTGTTTTTGCTATTTTGTAGTTCAACCACACTACAGTTCAGAGGTAAATGGTGTACTTTTCCTCCACTACATGTATTTAATCCCTTTAGTTACTTTACAGATGTGGATGAATGATGTGAAATATAACCAAGTGTTAAATCAGACTTTAGTTCCACCTGGAGTAAATCCACAAGCTACCCTGCAGTATACAAAGGCATTCAAACTAGCTGCACCTTTACCAGCTTTGAGAACACTTTCATGATCAATCATTATAAAACATATCATATATATTATTCTGAAATGGACCAATCTGCACAATGACTACTTTTTATGCTAATTGTTTTTGATTGCAGGACTTCTACAGTGTGGTATTTCTGTACTTCTTCCACCACTGCTAGAATGTAGATGTGACCATCAACAAATCAGCTGATGATGCTTATTTTAGTAGAAAAGTACACTTGTTTTATCAAAGTGTGAGAGGCACCGGAGGATGCACTCAGTGCTGCAGCCTCTGTGGACAGGATCAGTCAGACAGTCATTTACTGGAGATAATACATTATTCATACGACTTCCACCAATGCCATAACTTATTTGTTATTCCTCATGCACTGTGGGTTAGCTATGGGGATACACACTTTTCTTTTTGAATTGTCTAGCATTTGTCATTTAGGTTTTATTCAAATCACCTTTCCATTCTATTTAGTCATGTGCAAACATTCTACTATGCGTACAAACACATTCACTACTGGAGTATTTTATTCTTCCCTCTTTGCTTCTCTTTTGTTCTCCCTTTTTGCCAAATCCTCTCAAAACCTCCCTTCCTCACACACTCCCCTAACAGAGGACAGTACTCAGTTGCTCATCTCCACAGATGCCTCTTTCAGCACAGTCACCAATGGTATGTGAGCATAACGTTGTCTGCCTGCCCCACTCCTCCCCAGCCAATGAATGGACCCCAGCACACAGTGCAGTGAGAGTGACCTATGATGGACTTATACATATGATCATGTCTCTCAGTCTCTTGACCCAGTGTATGAAGATGTGTGTACCTTTATTCATCTTCCCTTTAGTATTGTTTCTTTGTGGTTTTCCAAAAGTGTGTCTGTCAGAAATATGAACTGTTGGTGACTCCTTACATGTGAACACTTCTCTTTCATACCTATCTCTTTCCATTCCCTTTAAATGTACCTTTCTCTAAATCAACCTCCCTTTCTCACAGGAAAACAACCTGATGGAGCTGTGGAGAACAATCAGAACAAAGGTAAAAGTGTGTGTGTGTGTGTGTGTGTGTGTGTGTGTGTGTGTGTGTGTGTGTGTGTGTGTGTGTGTGTGTGTGTGTGTGTGTGTGTGTGTGTGTGTGTGTGTGTGTGTGTGTGTGTGTGTGTGTGTGTGTGTGTGTAACGCTGAATTCAAATGTGGGATGACCTTATTTCATCTGCAGGACTTGATGAAAAGAGTGTGTAAGTGTATCTTTCTGTGTGTTTCAGCCAAGAAGCAGGATGGAGGTGTTGCCATGGAGATGCAACCCCTGAAGAGTGCAGAGGGAGGGGAGGTGGAGGACAGAGAGAAGAAGAAGACCAGCGTTCCAAAGAAGGAGAAGAGTGTGTTGCAGGGCAAGCTCACCAAACTCGCTGTTCAAATTGGCAAAGCAGGTAAAGAACCGTCTCTCCTGACCTCATCAGGTTTCAGCAGGCGTAGGGAACCTTCTACTTCATGAACACATCCATTCTGTAGCTGTCCCGCAGAGCTCCTGGTGCAATGACGTAGAGAAGGCAAAGACATTGTTTATTCTTAAACTTGATGCCAATATATTTTTGCTATTTGTTTTTAAACTATCTTCGTGGTATCTTGCAAAAATGTTGCAAAACCTTAACTTCTATATGCACCAAGCTTTGCTGTTTCATTCTCATCCACAGCATTTTCTGAAGGGCCTTCCTGAGGGCAGAGTTCTTACAAATGGCAAACCCTTAATTACCAAAAAGATATTTAGCAGTTCACTGTATTTTCGGACTTGTAAACTGATATAAAAAGATTATAAAGACACACTCATTCATAATATTTGACTCTAATATGTCCACAAATCGAATTAAACCTGGCTTTATCCAATGTACATGTTCTGTTCTGAACATGATATATGCACATATTAAATAAGACCTCATTAACATATTTCAACATTAAACAATGTTTAGATTCATACTTAAATGCTGGAATGTGATCACACAGATTATTGTTAAACACGGCTTTGAATCTCCCCACAGGTTTGGTGATGTCGGCCATCACCGTCATCATCCTGGTGCTGTACTTCGTCATCAACACGTTTGTTGTTGAAGGTCTGTGTGGAACAACTTCTCAGAATGCACCCCTCTCACGTCTTCCACTGTGCTGAGTATGATTCAAGTTGTTATTTTGCCACAATAATTATTGATGGTGTGTGTCGCAGGTCAATCGTGGTTGGCAGAGTGTACTCCGCTGTACGTGCAGTACTTCGTCAAGTTCTTCATCATCGGTGTCACCGTGCTGGTGGTGGCTGTCCCAGAAGGCTTACCTCTGGCTGTGACCATCTCTCTGGCTTACTCTGTCAAGGTACACACACACACCTGCTTGATGGGGAAAAGAAAATGTGCATGTTATCTTAGATTCATTAAATTAACAATTTCACACTCTACTGATAGCATTTTAAATTATTTTAAACCCAATTATATTATACTTAAATGATGATAACAACAGACTTTAAGCTAAACCTTCTCATTCACAAATGATATTCAAAAACAGAAGGAGCCTGAATTTATATTTCAAATAAAACGATGAGGCTATTTATCATGCCGAATATATTTAAATATGCCAATGCCAAAACAAATGATATATATATTGCCAATTCTGATATGAAAAGCCTGTGGAGTGTGTGGAGGCAGATCAGGGTTTTGAATACATGCACCTACCTGACATGCTTTGTTATCTGCACTGTCCAAATGTACAATATCTGCTTAAAACAAGCACAATAACCCCATCTCATTTATTAATGCAGCTTCATATAAAAAAGAGCGTGTTATTTTCACTCTACCTGTTGGACTTCTTGGCTCTAACGTCAAAAGGGGCTCTTTGATTGGTAGATATGAAATGATTGATGGAGGCCGAACTTTACATCAAGATGTAATTTAAGCGGTGGTGGATATTACACAATAGATTGAGAAGTACTTCAGTGCTTTTTTTGTCAAACTTGTACTTTACATGAGTATTTTCATTGTATTCTACATATAGTCCTACCACTACATTTCAGAGGGAGATATTGTTATTTAAAAAAAGGACTGTATCTGCCCTTGAACTTTTCACACTTAATTTACCCTGCCCTTTCTGCCTTTGTCCTTCTGCCCCCCCCCCCTCTCTATCCATCATCCCCTCCTCCCCCTGCTCCCTATCACCCTCTCACGTGTAGAAAATGATGAAGGACAACAACCTTGTCCGTCACCTGGATGCGTGTGAGACCATGGGGAACGCCACGGCCATCTGCTCCGACAAGACGGGGACCCTCACCACCAACCGCATGACGGTGGTGCAGACCCACATCGGTGAGTGACACCGACAATTTGGGAATGCTTTTATTTTACAAAATGCGGTCTCGTTTTTGTCCTCAAAATAAATATGTTTTCATAGGTTTTAGGAACATAACATGGTCTATACTTAGTTTAAACAATGAGGTTTTTAGGTTTTTAGGCTAATTGAACTAAACTCACCTAATACAATTAGGTGTAATCTGTTGACATACTACATTTTTTTTGTTAGTGTAACTAATTAACAAAATGGGTTCTAATTCCTTGCTCTGAATAAACTGGAAACCACTGGTTATGTTTAAATCCAGTGTTTGACACATCTTTCCTGACATACAGCTGACGGACTGGAGCAGGGGGCGAGTCTCTTTCTTGGGATGTCTTTTATTCGTACTTGACTAGAATTGTTTTAGCTTGGATAGTTACTTCATGTATTTAAATACTGACATTTTGCCTGTGCCAGAACACTCAGTAATATTATAATATCAATTAATATTGTTTAGCAAATTATGCACAATCATTTACATAATTATTAATACATTATTATAAATTAGCATTTATATAATTAATTTGTATTTAGCCTTTATTTATACAGGTGTAAAATCTCATTGAGACACAAGGTCTCATTTCCAAGAGAGACCTGTCAGTGGTAACACTACCACACAAAGTTACAGACAGACAGGACACTAAACACAGAGGCAACACTAAAATACAACATCGTAAAAAAAGTAGTCATTGAAATCCATACAGTAGTCAGGTAAAGCAGGTGCAAACACCCACAGATGATTTCTCCAGTTTTTTTAAAATGAGTTTAAAATCCGTGATGGGTATCAAACTGGTCAGCTTAAGTTCCTGCTGAAGTGTGTTCCAGGTCGAGGGGGCAGAGTATGATATGGCTTTTTTCCCAAGCACCGTGCGAACTGAGGGGACGGACAGAGTGATGTAATGTTGAGATCGTAGTCTATAGCTGTACTGTTTGTGTGATATGTAAGTGGATATGTAGAGGGGCAGCAGTCCAAGCATAGCGGTATAGATGAGTTTGTACCAGTGCAGTGATCTGCGCATTGATAATGATGTCCAGTTGACTAAAGAGTACAGCGTGCAATGGTGTGTGAGGGGTTTACAGTTTGTTATGAATACATTACTATTGTGTTTAATTCACTTTTAATTTACAATTGATCAGTGATGATGAAGTGTTACTTTATGGTCAAAATCAATAAAGAATATGAAGATATATCCAAACGTTATGTTGCTATTGTGGGTCAGGCAAAAAAAGAACACATGATTAAACTCTAAATTCTCCCTTTCAAACACAATGCCCTACTTTCAAATGCACATTTCTTTGTATATTAGATATCAATCTGTAATCATCCTGCATAAACTGAGACGGCGTTGATGACATCAGGTTGCTCTTTTATATTTCTGTCAGTAATACACTTTTCATAGCACCTTGTATACAAAGAGCTCAAGACTCAAACCAATAGAGCTAAACTTAATTCCAATAGTAGAAAAGCTGTTTATCTGTAGCTAGCTATTTCCATTTTCATGTCACAGATGAGATGTGTGAACATATACTAATCTCATCAATATCACGGGCTCTTCATATGATCTGATGTATGACGGAGGAGCAGGCAGCAGATGGGGATTCCTGCAGGCTGACTGTGCAGATTATACTTCATTTGTATTAAAGCTAGATTGTTGTTGCCCAGGTGACGTGCACCATCGTTTGGTCCCGGACCCCGGTCAGATCAACGCCCGGACGCTGGATCTGTTAGTCAATGCTATCGCTATCAACAGTGCCTACACCTCCAAGATCCTAGTGAGTCACGCACACACAGACACACACTGATCTGGCTTTGTTCTTCTCTTCAGGAGGCCTTGGTGCGTTTCCCTGCTTTATTTTAACTTCATCCTTTTCTTCTTCCTCTTGCCTCCCACATCTCCTTTCCTGACCTTCTCACTGCCCTAACCTACCACCCCAACTCGCTTCAATCTTACCCTGGATCAGCCGCCTGATGTGGAGGGGGGACTGGCTAAGCAGGTGGGCAACAAGACAGAGTGTGGCCTGCTGGGATTTGTTCTGGACCTCCAGCGGGACTACGCCGCTGTCAGAGAGCAGATCCCCGAGGAGAGGCTGTACAAGGTGGGCAAACACATCCACATCCACTAGCTTCAGTGAAGGTGTTATATACTGATATCTGATTTGCATCCTGTAATCCATAAATCCGCATATGTCCAAAAGGCAATAGATACGCAGTGGTGGAAAGTAACTTAGTAACTTAAGTACGAATTTGAAGGGCTTGGAATATACTTAAAGGAGAGGTGTCATGCTTTTCCGGTTATTACCCGTCCCCTTGTGTGTTATGAAGGTTTTTATGCATGTAAACGGTCTGCAGAGTCAAAACCCTCAAAGTACACCCTGTAGGGAGTAAAACTCTAACACAGAAAAGACCTCCCCAAAATGCCTCGTTGGAGATACGTCATTGTTCATTTGATTCTTCCATTTCGTTCCGGGTACGGCATGATGTCAAGCCGTACCCGGAACGAAATGGACCAATCCGTGGAGCCGTTACGTTACGTCCGCGGAGCCGTTACGTTAAGCCCCCGCTGATTGGTCCAAATTGACCAATCCACAGACTTCCTCACACACACATCTGTGTGCAGGGAACAGGCAGCTCAGCTGATTTGGCTGGAGCTTTGGGAGCTTTGGGAGCTACAACGAGCCGTTAAAGGCAGAGAGTGAAATTCAGTGAATACACGTAGTTTACAGAGATGCTGTATGAGAAACCAATGTGAGTTTGGAAAAATGCACAGTATAAATCTATTTTAGTAGACCTCAACAATGGAATTATGATCAGTGGAAATGGCCATGACACCTCTCCTTTAAGTATTTTCTTTACACTTTATACTTTTACTCCACTACCATTCAAAGGGAAATAGTGTACTTTTATTTCACTACATACATTTTACAGCTTCATTTACTGCATAGATTCAGATTTGTACACACAAAAGATAATATAAAAAAACACATGTTGATTAAATTAACCAACAATATATTTAAGTCCATCTATGTATTGACAGAAAAGTCATTTTTGCAAAATACATTTCACAGCTCCAATTTTTCAAATGTGAAGATTTGCTGCTCTTACTTCTGCAATGAGTTTGGCGTAGAGCACGCTGAGGTCTATAGATGTTCGCTCATCAGACACGAGGAGAGCTGGAGCTTTGATGGCAAACACTGACGGTTTATTTGGAGCTTCGGCCGGAGAATTCACAAGACATGTCACGGGCCACGAGTTGACCACACGGTTGAGATGCCACAATCAATTCTGAAGAACCCTCCTGTAGCTCCAGGTTTTAACTAGTTCAGAGTGTAATAATCAACATTCTTCAATTGATAGACTAAACAGCTGAGGACACTGAATCACATTTGTTGTCGCTTATGGCTCGGGCTCCCGAGAAGGATGTGTTCCAGGTGTCCCACAACAATAACTATCTCTGACCGAGAGTTGCCCGGTCATAAACTGGCAACATCAACAATATTCTAGGGCAGCCCCTCCTTATGGGAGATAACGGCTGCTCAAGGTTGGTCAGCTGCGTCAGAGGGCGAAGGAGGACATGCAGGGCAAATTATTCCCCAACAGTTACTATATTGATGCTCTTCTGGATATAAACCAAACAGAAACAACTTTTGGGTGAACACCTTCATCTTTCTGCACTGCCAAATACAGTCAAACCATGTTCCCCCTTGATTCTGTGCATTTTGTGCATATATTTGTGTTGTATCGGTTCAAATCAACCGGGGTCACATATGTTCACATCAACCAATTTATACTGCATACGTTTAGGTTGTGTATTTTTAGACCTGTTGTGAGCAGCAATGAATACTTTAACTAGATGTTCCTGATCATACTTAAAGGTCTCCTATTATGCTATTTTTAGGCATATATTATCGGTCTCAAATATATAGAATTATATAAAAAACATGTCTATGATGTGTTCTGCTCAAAATACCAAACAGATCATCCATTTTAGAAATCCCTCATATCCCTCTATTCCAGCCCTGTTAGAGAACAGCTGATTCAGGGTCCTTAGCTTGAAAAAAAAAAAAAAGAGGAGGGGGAGCTTGTGCCTGCTCAGAATTCTACGAGATGCAGCTAAATGCTGCCGTGATTAAAGTCAAAGTCAAAGTCAGCTTTATTGTCAAAATGTCTACATGTGTTATACATACAGAAATCTAGAAATACCGTTTCTCGCAGTCCCACAGTGTGATATATATACATAAAACAAGATACAAAAAGGGCCTAGATAAACGGGGTATAAAACAAAGTAATAGTAATAATAAGTACGAGTTAATAATATCTTTTTAAAAACACAATTCACAGAACATGAATTGACATTAATGCAAGTATTCTTTAGTGCAGTTTCAGTGCAGTAGCAGCGGAGATGGGTAGAAAAGTGACTGGTGCTGGATGAGGGAAGGTTGTGTGTGTGTGTGGGGGGGGGGGGGTTAAAGTCCAGGTCCATTTGGGGCAGGAGGGAAAGGTGGGAGGCAGGGTGGAGAGGTCAGGGGCGAGATGTCAGAGGGGGGAGGGAGGGAGAGAGGAGAGAGAGGGAGAGGAGGGAGGGAGGGGAGAGAGTTCATATCATGTTCCAAACCACATCAAGCATTATTTCTGAAACAGTATGGAGCTCAATGCTTTTTCTCTTACGGGTTTACCGCAAGGTGAGTTCCTTTTTTATTTCCTGCTTCTTCACACACATGCTCTGTGCAGTACAGGTTAGCTCTGAGTGTTAGCGATGCTTGCTAATGTAAACACAGACCATATTACGTCCAAACACGTCGGGCATTGTTTCTGATAGCGACGTTTCTGATAGTGCCGTGGGTCCACATTTCCGATATTACGTCATATCGGACGCAAATCTGGATCAGCTCTGTTGTACCCCCGTTTTTAGAGATTTGGGTACGTAGGAAAAGAGAGAGGGTTTTGTTTTCTGACACTTTGTGAGTTCCCTGACACACCGGGGACACATATTTATGTATAAAAGACATCAGAAAGTGCATTTTGCATGATAGGTCCCCTTTAAATACCGTTTCTTAAGTACAATTGTAGAGAAAAACGTCTTTACTCTCCCCAGTATGCATGTGTAGCGCCATGAACTGAGTGACTGCATGCTCCACAACCAATACAATACCAATGCAGTAGCACACTGACATCACACATCTCTATCAAGGACTATGGTGCATTCACATGCGACTTGGAAAGTCCTCAGGGTCGTTCTTTAGGTCGTGCAAACAACATGGTCACTACAGAGAAGATGTGTAGTAATGTATTGCTCATTTTAACAACACCTTAATATGTTTCAGAGTTTCTGTTCTCACACGAGGGGGTTTTACTGTGGTTTTTCCTAGTCGGGAACAAACTTTTAATATACTACATGAATGCAGCACAAATGCCATATTGTGCAATTCCAATAGAACTGAAACCTCATTTGCGTATCCGCCTTATGATTATATCTGCTACAACATTTCTTAGCCCATGCTTCACCCTTACCCAAAGTTTAATGAAAATCAGGTTAGTAGTTTTTCCGCAATCCTGCTGACAGACAGAAAGAGCTGAAAACATGACTTACTTGGAGGAGAAAATAATCATCATTGGTTATAAAAAGTCTTTGCTAAACCCACATTGGATCTAACCAAAACAGTGACAAACATGTGTGTGCCGCCCTTTGCTTGCAGATCACAGTACACAGTACAAACATGATACATGTTCTGTCTATCTCTACTCTGACAAGTCTGGATCTTACCTGCCCACCTGTCTTCCTCTCAGGTGTACACATTCAACTCAGTGCGTAAATCCATGTGCACAGTGATCAAGCTGCCTGATGGCTCCTTCCGCATCTACAGCAAAGGAGCCTCTGAGATCCTGCTGAAGAAGTGAGTGTGGGAGGAAGGATGGGGGAGGAGGTGTGGAGGGGAAATGTGATAGTTAAACACTGATTATTAGATTGTGTTTAAATAGAGAATGTAAAAGACCAAAGATGCTTTGCTCACGAGTGTTTCTGTCCTCTAGGTGTTCCTTCATCCTGGATACCAATGGAGAAGCACGCATTTTCCGCCCCCGTGACAGAGATGAGATGGTCAAACAGGTGAGACTTCAGGAATTAACACTCCAATGTGCTGAATAGTATCTTTACAATATCTTTAATTTGGACCTGGTGAAATAGGGTTTAAGATGCTGATCCTGTCCCCAGCCGGACCCCTTTGCTACATGTCATTTACCACTCTATCTCCCCCTGTTTCCTGTCAACTCTCACTGTCTAATGCAGGCCAATTCCCCCAAAACACTAAATATGAAGTTAAAGCTAGGGAATGTTTAAATTAGACTGAAAGCTTTTAAGGCTAATTTGTTCTCTTTTAGCTCTGCTTTTGGTCTGCACCAACTCCTGCTTTTGGTCTGCACCAACTCCTGCTTTTGGTCTGCACCAACTCCTGAGGGAAATATCTGGCACTTAGCTTCCTAATACTCTGATGTTCACTACATTCCAGTTAACCCTGTCTGTTTGCTGCTGAGCGTACAGTGGGGTTTTAAAGCTCTTTCTGGAAACAGCTGTCCACTGTGTCCAAAAACAGACACTGAGAGTGGTGAGAACTAACCAAAACTCATCACTTTAAGTGACCCTTTGACCATTCTCACATTGTTATAGTTTTTTCAATTTAACCAATGTGTTAGCGTTTGTATTTTTTTACTTTAACAGATCCAGGCCAGCTGTTTACCTCAGAGTCCACTCTTTGTGCTAAACTAAGCTAATCTGGCTCTAGTTTCATATTTAGCATACAGACATGTCATTTCTTGACATGAAAAAGAATAAGAATAAATAACCAAATATTTATTAATGGTCCCATGTCATGGCCATTTCTACTGATCGTAATTCCATTGTTGAGTTCTACTAGAATAGATTTATATTGTTGAGTGTATGGGTACAGCACCCCCATCTGCGAGGCTCCACTAGCACCCGCACCCCCAAATGCGGCGCACCTACAGTGTAAGCGGCCCCCCCCCCCCCCCCCCCCCCCAGCGCGTTACAGTTTCGCCACTGAGAGAGTGTGTGTGTGTGAGGAGCTCCACGGATTGGGTATGGTCACGTCACTGTACCCAGGAAGAAAAAGTGAAATCTCCAACGAGGCGTTCTGGGGCAGCATAGACAGGTCTTTTCTGTGTTAGAGTTTTACTCTCTAGAGGGTGTACTTTGAGGGTTTGTGACTCTGCAGACCGTTTACATGCAGAAAAAGCTTCATAACACACAAGGGGACGGGTAATAACCGGAAAAGCATGACATGGGACCTTTAATATTAACATTTTCCTTTAAAAAAATGCACAGAAATTGAGCATATGACTACTTTGCTAGATCAGTCTAATTACATGTGAGTACAATCTTTAGCAGCAAAACACATGTTTTAATTCTTCACATAGCAGATTAGCCTATGCAGGCTGCACAAGGAAGGAAGGTTACATTGACTGACAGGCTGACTGACATAAATGGTTCAGGATTAACAGTTTTGAACAACTTTATTCCAGCTCAGTAGTTCAGTTTGCACTGTAGCAGCTTTGTGTCACCTCCTCTTTACATCATACGTCCCTCTGCTGGCTGCAGCAGGCCAGGGGCTTTTCCCTTCATCCCTGTCATAGAACATTCTCACAGAATAACACAAAAGGTCATCTGACACAAACTTCCCCCTTGTGTTTAATTTGTATTCATCAGATTATGGGAATGTAAATGAAGCAGTCTGTGGTTTGATGCGGAATGAGATTTTGTGGACCCCCTCCCTGAATAACAGGTGATCGAGCCCATGGCCTGTGAGGGGTTGAGGACCATCTGCATCGCATACCGTGACCTGCCGGGGAATCCAGAGCCAGACTGGGAGAACGAAGCTGAAATAGTGACGGAGCTGACCTGCATCACTGTGGTGGGGATAGAGGACCCTGTGCGGCCTGAGGTAGGAGCAGTGCAGTCTGGGTGAGACTAGTTCCACTCTGAGACAGTACTGTCTTTATGTGCAGTCCATACTGTGTGAATAATTATAGTTCTGACTCAATAACTTATTTTGTGGGGGGATGAATTTCCCCTGAAAAAAGAAATCGCAATTAATGTAGTTATTGTCATTCTAAGACCATTTTATGCATCATAATAATGAACGCACACCCTCATATTTTGTTTTAGTAGTAATTGGCTCTATTACAGTGTATTACAACTTATCTTTAGATTTTATATTGTGTTCTCTATATAATATACTTTAATATATCAAGTGTTTTTTAATCTAATTTAATATTCAGATATTAAAATTAGAATGTGAAAAAAATATTAAAATATCAGAAAGAAATCATATAAAAGCACACAACCAAAACAAAACAAAGCATATGTCTGCATCATGTTGGCTCAAATGTTCACACACTTACATAGATCTATTTCATTTTATAATCTAGATGAATTTTAATTGCAACTGTCTCTCTAAGGTACCAGAGGCCATCCGTAAGTGTCAGCGCGCGGGCATCACGGTGCGGATGGTGACTGGAGACAACATTAGCACAGCCAGGGCCATTGCTGTTAAATGTGGCATCATCCACCCCGGGGACGACTTCCTCTGTATAGACGGCAAAGAATTCAACCGACGAATCAGGAACGAGAAAGGAGAGGTGAGCTGGGGTTGAGTAAACTTACATAAAAGTGGTTCCTTTAGTGTTCACATGAAGTATTCTGTCTCTGTACTTCATTAGAATGAACTAGACTGGATATTCACAAAATATCTGTTTGTTACTAGCCTTTAATCTTAGTCAGATTCATGTGTACACGTAATTATATTTTATGCATTCTGACATGAAACACAACTTCTATCTCTTTGCTACATTAACATCTGTTGGACTATTTCCTCTGTGAAATACACATATTCACAGCTCATGCAGGAACTTCTATACATTCCCATGTCAACAGATTGCATATTCCTGTATTCTGTATGTCATTCAGGCATTATATTGTGAAAGGATTTTCTACTCAGAGAACATATAGGTGATGTGAAATCTCCTTCCCTTGGTTTCCTGCTTATGTAGTGGTGGAAGGCAAACAGAGCTCGGCTAAAGGATCAGTAAAAGGATGTTAGAGACCTAGAATAATGTATTTCTTCTGACAATCTGCTCCTCCAGTCTAGTTGGTTTCAGTAATGCACCAAATATTTGGTTGCCAACTCTCAGAACTCCTCAAAAAAATGTCTGCCATTCTGAACTTTGACTTTGTTTCAAAGGGAATACTCATTTAATGGAGTTTGACTTGATTGAGACCATTACCTTTTCATGGCAACCTTTGCACTCACGATGCCTAGACTCTAGAGTTGCTATTGAAAATGTGTAGAAACATGCACTCATGTGATACCAAAAAAGCAGCAGCACATCCCCAGCTCGCACTGCAGCGGCTAGAACCAATTCCTGATAATTTACTCTCCATCCAAGATCCAAAAGTGACATCTATTGAAAGAAGAGAACAGCTAATAGGTTCTTTATGATGTCATTAATCATCACACTCTTTCCCCCCTTTTTTCTCTCCATCTGACAGATCGAACAGGAACGCATTGACAAAGTCTGGCCCAAACTTCGCGTGTTGGCTCGATCCTCGCCAACGGACAAACACACTCTGGTCAAAGGTGAGCTTCAGCTTTATAAACAGATGCACGCCCACATTCATTCACACACACTTGGAGCCCATCTGACCCCCTTTTTGTGTCCAGGCATCATCGACAGCACGGTGTTAGAGCAGAGGCAGGTTGTCGCAGTAACAGGAGATGGAACCAATGACGGACCAGCTCTGAAGAAGGCTGATGTTGGCTTTGCCATGGTAACCTGAAAGAGTATTCACCAATAATGTTTATTTAATGTTCATACCTTCTGTAGCTACAATAATGCAATCACACACTTATATAAATGCATTTTGGAGAACAAATGATCCTAACCTACACACTTATCTCTTATCCCTTTAAATATATTAATGACTTAAAGAGTGTTTTGAAGCGAGGTTGTTTTACATTATTCTCCATAGTTGGTGTGTTACTACAGTACACGCCTGTTTACACCCCCATTTTGAAGAATCTGCTAAGCAATTTACTGCTCAGAAAAATATATTTTAGCCACCTTAATAAGTGGCTTCAGTTGAAGTATACTTATCATTTTGTCAATGCACCTTGCTGTCAGACATCTTGTTGACGAACAGAGGACATAAACAAATTAACCCAGCCAAACTGATTTTTATTGGGGTCTACAATCTGTTTTGCAGCTGCCCAATCCACAGCAGTCCGTAACTTACCCTCTACTGGTACTGCTGTGTGTTTCTCCAAACTGGGGGTGTGCTGACCCCCATCTATTGTCGTTTATACACTGGATAAATACCTCAACACTTTAAAACAACCTAACTATGCTTGCCCTAACTTAAGGTAACTAAGATGGTCAAGGATTTATGACTCGATTTGTACCCTACAATCTATAGATACATATATATTAAATACATACCTAATATATATTGTATTTTATTTGGAATAAAAAATGTTTTAATAGTGTGGTTTAATAGTGGTTATGGTCACGGACCTTTCTCACTTGCAATTGGAGTCAGGGCAACAAGATATTCACACAGTAGCACTCCAACATAATTTGAGTGTTTGCGTGAATCATGTGACGAGTGTCCGTCTGCTCCTCACTGTCTCATTGTGTGTCAGGGTATTGCGGGGACGGATGTGGCTAAAGAAGCGTCTGACATCATCCTGACTGATGACAACTTCAGCAGCATTGTGAAGGCGGTGATGTGGGGCCGAAATGTCTACGACAGCATCTCCAAGTTCCTGCAATTCCAGCTCACAGTCAACGTAGTGGCTGTCATCGTGGCCTTCACCGGGGCCTGCATCACTCAGGTGACACATTTATTAATAAACATACACACTGACACACGTGCATTCATACTCAGTCACAGAGACGTCACTTCTGTGAACATCACTCACCCTCTATCTGCTACAAAGCAAAAAGCTACAATGCTTTTAATGCATTTTTCGCACTAAGCTTATATAAGCATGTTTAGGGCTGCAGAAACTTTGTCTGTAGGGGCTTGGCATGGAAACCAGATGGTCCCTGGTTCAAGTCCCAGAAGGGAACAAGTATGGAGAGTGGACAGGTGCCAGTTTGTTTCCTGTTACTAAAAGTAAAAGTACTTATGACTGAGGCCCATTTTCAGAATCATATATATTTGATTACTTGATTGTGAAGAAGTATTAAGATCCTTTATTACATGGCTTAGTTGAATACTCGATTCTGATTGGTCAATTCAGAACATGTGACACGTTGTTAATCCAGTACAGACAGACCGCTGTCAAGGACTTATTGACCGTTGTTAAGGACGCTCACATATGCAGAAAGAAGTCCGGTCGATTGAACTGTATACAGTTTGGCTGAAAAGCAAACTGCATGCAGTTTGCTTTTCGAACTGGGACAAGAAAACAGCGGAGAAGTAACGGGGCAGAAACCCTCCTTTTTACGCAGCGGTCCAGACATAGACATCAAACGGCGACACATATTCAGTGTGCAGTTCCTTTGGCATTAGGGCAGGGATATCTAGATACTTTCCAAGGTTTGACATAATGAATTGTGCTACTTTTAAAGCAAGCAACGATGTTTTCAAATCTGTAATCAAAAAGGTCCGCAAAAACGCTATCGAAGCAGTTCCTGCCGTTGCTATGTAGTTCAAACAGTAACAACGGACTATTTTTCTTAGCGGATGCAAGCCATTTTAAATCAATAATAGAACACAGGTGTTCTTTTCCCCATAATGACCAAGTCGCTGCACATTATCCCTTACTTACTTAAAGGTGGGGTAGGTAATTTCGGAGAAACCAGCTCGAGTGCGCTAGAATTTGAAAATACACAACCGGAGAAAATCTGCCACTTCCTTACAGAGCCCCTCCTCCAACACACACGAAGGCGCACATGACCAATGAGGGCACGAGATAAGTTTGTGCACAGATGGAAGGCTGACAGGCAGGTAGGCCATCCAGTTATTTTAGCTGGGCCGGCTAAAATGATTGGTCGTGCTTTTTACAGTACTACGGCTTCCACAGATGACATTTTTGTATGGATTTGTTGTCAAAGCACTTCAGATATTCATTGCTATCGGAATGTTAAGAGCATTCCATGGAATATAACAAAAAGTGTAACTCGAGCCGGTTTCTCAAACTTACCTACCCCACCTTTAAGTAAAAGTAGCAATACATGAATGTATAAATACTCCATTACAAGTAAAGGTACAGAAGTATTATCAAGAGTATAACATGTAAAAGTACAAATGCAGAAACATTTCCTCCATATGTGATTTATTATTAAATATATATGACATTATTTTTCATATTGAAGCATCAGGTAGTATTTTACTGTCTCAGACAAACACAATTTCTATACACAAATGATTGATTATAGGAACTTTTTGTTGTATAAATTGTATAATTGGTTTTATCCCCCTTAAACAGTCAATGCATTGGTTTAATTTGAAAGTGTATCACATGTTTTTTAATGCAACATCTTAATCTGAAAAGTCACTAAATCTTGATAAATAATAAATAAATTAATAAATGTAGTGGAGTAAGAGTATAGAGTAGCATATTGTGAAAATACTCAAGTAAAGTACAAGTTCCTCAAATGTTTACTTAAAGGTGGGGTATGTAATTTATTTCAGAAACACTTTTTGTTATATTCCATGGAATGCTCTTAACATCCCGATAGCAATGAATATCTTAAGTGCTTTGACAAAAAATCACCTACCCCACCTTTAAGTACAGTACTTGAGTAAATGTACTTTCTCTCCACCGCTGGTTGTCGCATCAGTAAGACACATGAAGTGTTCTGTTGTCTATAAATCGCACAGATATATTTTACTCAACATCTTTTAAAAAGGCATATCTGACACCGGTTTCTATTTGGGTTAAGATTTTATATTAAAATCATAGTGAAAATGTACTTATAAAATACAATGCATTGATTTAAACAGTGGTTCCCAACCTGTTGGCTTGTGACCTCTTACAAAATACTGTTCCCTTTGTCACACTTTCTATGAGCTGTAAACTGTTCTAAAGGAATCAGGGTCTTCCCACAAACCCCAGTGTGTGTGTGTGTGTGTGTGTGTGTGTGTTGCTTGGTGACACAGATGTTTTGTTACACTCTCTGCAGGACTCTCCTCTGAAGGCGGTGCAGATGCTGTGGGTGAATCTCATCATGGACACCTTTGCTTCTCTGGCTCTGGCCACCGAGCCCCCCACTGAGGACCTGTTGCTACGGAAACCCTACGGTCGGAACAACCCGCTCATCTCACTGACCATGATGAAGAACATCCTGGGCCATGGAGTGTACCAGCTGATCATCATCTTCACCCTGCTGTTCATAGGTACACACACACACACACACACACACACACACACACACACACACACACACACACACACACACACACACACACACACACACACACACACACACACACACACACACACCCACACACAACCACACACACACAGGAAGGAATACAATTTCATCTACTATTAAAACAGCCAGAAATAACCAGCTCTATCATATATATCAAATATATATAAAAAAATAAAAACAATAATTATTGATTTAAAAATAGTATGAAATATGAAATTGTATTGTAATCTGGGCATGGACATGTATTTATATACATACACACATGGAAACCTACCTTCTAAGTTTGCAGTTAAAATACCGTAGTATTTGGGTCCCTGACCAAAAGCGCTGAACTGGATGACTAATGCCCCTTTCACACCAACGCGGTTCCAGGACCGGTTCGGAGCTGGAGCCTGAAAAGCACAGGTTTAATATGTGCAATAAGTTCATTTCAATACGTTTTGCAATAAACATTGAACCAGTCCGGCCCTCGACTAGTACCGAATTTTTTATTTTGGCCCACTGTGTAAATATGTAAGAACTTTTGAATGTAGCATGTAACGACTGTAAAGTTGGTAGTGAAGTCGTCCCATTTTTTCCATTTCGTTTCGACAGAGCAAAACCAAAACGAGTAGCGCTTCAATACAATCGGCCATTGTTGTTGTTGTTGTCGATGTGAGGGGTTTCCGCGCGGTTTGGCTTTATGAAGCAGGCACGCAAACAGTTACGTCACGACGCAAACGATGACGCAATGACGCAGTACCAGTCGGGCTCTGAGCGGTGTGAACAGAGCGGGAGCTGAACCGAAGAACCGGTTCCGAACCAGAAAAGCTCTAGCTCGGAGCTAGAACGGGAAAAGCCTTGGTGTGAAAGGGGCATAACAGGAGGGCTATGCTTTCTGCCCTCCCACCTCCACTCATTTGGTTTGATTTCATTAATGGTCTGTATTAATATTGAATAAGTAGAATTAAAAACAATATATATATGCTAATAACCAAGAATCCAGGACAACAAAAACAAAGCTTTGGTGTCGACACACACATTCACACGTCACATGTTATGTTACAGTGGTAATGGGTTATTTTTCCAGCAGCCTATCCAACACACTTCCTAGTGTACAACACAGCTGATAATTGTGCCTTTTTTCTCACTTCCTGCTTCCTCCACCAGGCGAGCACATTTTTAACATCGACAGCGGCCGCAACGCCCCGCTCCACTCCCCGCCCTCTGAGCACTACACCATCATCTTCAACACCTTCGTCCTCATGCAACTCTTCAACGAGATCAACGCTCGCAAGATCCACGGAGAGAGAAACGTCTTTGACGGCATATTTGCCAACCCCATCTTCTGCACCATCGTTCTGGGAACCTTTGCCGTGCAGGTAAGGGTTATCGCCCTTTAATGTTTCCATACTGTTTGCTGGAGAATATTGTAAGAGGTTTGTTTATGAATTGATGTGATACAGTATGAGGCTGTGGGTTGTGACATGTTGTTGTAAAGTACACCAATGAAAAACAAAACATTTTAAAGAAACATGTTCTACCATCTATCAGTTCAGTACATTTATGTTGAAACGGCAATATTTCTTATTGCACTGCCTGTATGATAAATGGTATTCTACTGCATATTGTATATATGTGGCCACGTTATTAGTTACATTTGAACATTTATTGCAATCCAATACAACAGCTTGCTCTTAGTTTCTATCCTTACAACTTTATAGCATTTTTTTAATTAGCACTGTAAGAAAAGATATTCAGTTTGCAGCTAATTCTCAAATAGTGTCAATGTCCTTTTCGAAGCAGACCTATACTAGACAAATGCCTGGATTTCTAATTTCCTCTGTTTGATACAGTAGGAATATCAGGTAAGCACAAGTATGAAGCTTGCTTTTTTTCTGATCTGCTCCCATTTCCCCATTTAAAGCGTTGTTACTGCATCACATTGTTATTCTCAACTCCATATTCCCTGTGTTTGTTCCAAAGGCAAAACCCTGCTGCATTTCACAATACCTTCGTTTCCTAACATGGCTTTGTTTGTGAAAGGATGCAAGAGCATGTGTTGAAAATATCAGTGACAAAATTGCATAATTTCAGCTTTGGTAACAATGGTTTTAGGCTGTATTTATAAAGCAATAAGAGCTTCAATGGATTCTACAGATAGAGGTTGCATTTCGGTTATGGCCTGTGCTGACTTGGTCACCTTCTTATGTATGTAGTATATTTAGTACAAGGAAGGAAAAGGAATTGGATTATTTTTAGGCCGGACATTGCCTCTCACAATGTAACCGGTTTCACATTTCAAGCTTTAAGAGTCCAACATTACCAACAAAAGGTGAATTGTTTGTTGAATTAACTCACAGAGAATACAGTCAAATGCATTAAGCAGGGAATTTTGCATACACAAAAACATAGTCAAGCAAGCAAATCTGAGTTAGTGATAGAGAGAAAAAGGGACATTTTCCAAAGCTCAGTGCTCGTGGTACTCTGGGGAGAAAGAAGAAAAGAGAGAGCTGGAGGGGACGGAATGTGATATGGAGTGAAAGAGCAACAAAGAGACAGTTGAGAGGGATTTGGAAATGTAGAGATGAGAGAGCTGGTGGCAGCTTGAGAGTTGAACGAGGGAGATAAGTAAGGAAGGGATCCCTCCTCCCTGTAGGAAGATATTACGTTACGTGATACACTGTATCATACTCCCAGTGAGATTTGCGTAGTTTGGTGTCAGGATGATGTGTCACTGATAAACCTTGCCTTTGTTGTAAATGATCATGTTGCTGTTTCAAATACCACGCTTCATCCACTGAGAGAGGCAAGCTTACTGTGGTCTCAGATTTAAGGTTTCAACGCTTATAATTCAGAACTGTTTCATAGTGAATCATGTCAATACCACTTAGATACTTTAAAAAGAGGATCCTTTTATTCATATTGTTATTAGACATTAAATAATTTCTACTTTTTAACTAATCCTTAAAGCTATCAGAATATATTTAGAAGGAAACTGGCATAATAATAATAACTAGAGAATGCAATTCCTGAAGAAATTGCTAGTGGGAATGCTTTATGCTGAAAAGCTGACGCTAAACTGCTATGCTGAAAGGTAATGTGTAAGAAGAAAGTGAAGAATTTAGATTGAAATGATACATGAACACTGGGGGCTTGAATGTGTGATGAGTGAAGAAAAGAAAGTAAAAAGGCTTGGAAAAGCAGCAGAATATTTGAACTGCAAACTTTTGAACTAACGTGATGGTGAATGATCTGTCGCCATGGCAACGATATTTGATGACACCCCATAATACGCTTAGATGCGTTGATGGCTGCATCGTTACCAAACCTGTGAAGTTTTGGGCCGTTTGGAACATTTTCACTGAAATTATGAGAAAACCGTGTTTCATGGCGAGCATTGTGTTGCCATGGCAACAACATTTGAAGAAACCCCATAATTGACGTAGAGCTGTTGAGGGCTGGACCGGTGATATACAAGCGAAGTTTGGGGGCGATCGGACCGTTTCCATTGGACTTACAGCGACATCGTGCTTCATGGCGAGTGGTCTGTCGCCATGGCAACGGCATTTGATGACACCCCATAATACGCTTAGATGCGTTGATGGCTGCATCGTTACCAAACCTGTGAAGTTTTGGGCCGTTTGGAACATTTTCACTGAAGTTATGAGAAAACCGTGTTTCATGGCAAGCATTGTGTTGCCAATGGCAACGGCATTTGAAGAAACCCCATAATTGACGTAGAGCTGTACCGGTGATATACAAGTGAAGTTTGGGGGACGATCGGACCGTGTCCATTGGACTTACAGCGACATCGTGTTTCATGGCGAGTGGTCTGTCGCCATGGCAACGGCATTTGATGACACCCCATAATACGCTTAGATGCGTTGATGGCTGCATCGTTAACAAACCTGTGACGTTTTTTTGCGCCGAGAGAGAGAGAGAGGAACAGTTAGAACTGACTGCTGTCAGTTGGAGTGATGACATCATCGTGTTCCATTACACAGGTGTTTATAGTTGAGCTAACGAGCTCTGTAGAGATCAAAGGTTTGCATTATTCTGAATGAGAGATAAACCTCTTACATGTGAACGTTTTGTGGAAGAACCGTAACAGATATCTGTGAAATTTCAAAACGTGAAGCATGTCAAGGAAGTTGAGTATCTGAAGTGTAATTTTTGTGTACTTTCGGGTTAATAATGTGGCCTTTTTGGCAGTTTAACTAAAGGTGTGCGGCTGCTGCTGTGAGGAAATATCAGCCTGAAATTACAATGGGTTTTAATGGAGACATGTTGAAAGTTTTTGTCACTTCATGCCCTCAAGAGGCATTTTGTCATTTTTCAAGCTACGAGATGTTTTCCTACGTTTCTCATGAAAAATTATGTCTCAGGAATGTAGGGTTTGGGAATTATGGCAGTTTTAAAAAAAAATATGAAGGCAAATTTCAAGATTTCCTACCCTCTAGCTGTGACATCACGCACTCTAGTTAATGTTAAAATCTTAAGAAAGCCTCTTTACCAAGGTCTGAACAATGTTTAATATCTCTAAAAGTAAGAATCAGATTTAAAAGTTGTGTTACACGAATAATGTCAGAAAGATGTGTAACATTTAAAATTTGGAATGAGGTTTCTGAGTGAAAGTATGAATGAACAGTTAGCAGTTGAAGTCGCATGAAGATTGTTCAAGTCTGAAGATTTTCTCCATTGACTTCAATGGTTAAAAATGTGATGAATTATGGGATGTATCTCTGGAATTATGAAAGTTATGAATAATCCAAATGATAGCCATCAATTCCCGACCGAGCTGAATGTTTTGATGTTTGAACGGAGTTTCTGCGATGTTGAATGCAGGAGGAGAAGAGGTGCAAAATTCCGGCGGAATAATAATAATTTTGTCCGTAGAATAACATATAGTTGGAATGCTGTATCAGCATTCCCACTAAATAATAATAAATGGAATTTATAAAGCGCCTTTCAAGGGACCCAAGGTCGCTGTACAAAGTGGTCTGTTTTGTTTTGTCTGTCCATGGTGGACAGACAAAACAAAACAGACAAAGAGGAGCAAACAAAACAAAAATAAAATAAAGGAGGCCGGGGGACCAGGAAAGGACTAGGGTCCGAAGGCCAGGGTGAACAGGTGCGTTTTCAGTGCGGATTTGAAGATGTCCAGTGAGGCAGCGTTCCGGATCTCAGCAGGAAGTGCATTCCAGAGGGTGGGGGCCGCAACACTGAACGCCCTGTCACCCACAGTACGAAGGCGTGAACGGGGGATGGAGAGCAGGCCCGTGTCTGAGGACCGCAGACTCCGAGAGGGGGTGTAGGGATGTAGGAGGTCTGTTAGGGGGGCGAGGGTATGGAGGGACTTGTACGTGAGGAGGAGTGTTTTGTAGTGAATCCGGGACTTGACCGGCAGCCAGTGTAGGTGGATGAGGGTGGGGGTGCCCTAGTAACTGTTTCACAGTTAACATGCGGAATTTCCTGCTGGAAATATGACGATTCAGGCCCCGGAGATCTAGAATAGGTCTGAATTCCCCTGTTTTCTTGAGAACCAGGAAATACATGGAATAAAGACCCTTCTCTCTGTGCTGAGGATGCACAACAGACACAGCCTGTTTCTGCACCAGAGCCTGAATCTCTGCTGAGAGGAAACCCATCTCCTCCTGGGAAGACAGATTTACCTCTCGCATGCCCATAAAAGGAGGTGGGATGCTGCAAAACTGGAGTGAATAGCCCCGTTTCAGCTGTGTCCATCCACCTTGTCAGTACACAGCTGAGTTTCCATTCCCCATAACATTGTGTTAATGGGCAAGCCCTCAGCTGTGGGGCCGCAGCTATGAAGCTGTGGTACTCTCTGGAAGAAAAAAACGTCAGATTTTCCACTGAGGTCCCTGAACGCACCACGGCACGCTCCCGTGAGAGCGCGCGCTCCGCCATAATGCTGTTTCCTCTTAGAGAGAAAGAGGCATTAATCGGAGCTTCTTCTGTCCATGAACGCACCGCGGCCCGCTCTCAGGGGGGGGGGCCGCGCGTCTTCACTATGGAAAACAGCATTAACCGGAGTTCTTACAGGCGTAGTGTGTTTTACTAAGGCCCCTGAACGCACCGCCACGCGCCTTTTTACAAGTGCAGCCCCTATCACTATAGTAAACAGCATTATTTGGAGTCTTAGCCTCAGGCATAGAATGTTTTCTAACAGAAAAACGTCGGCCATAATGTCCCTGTACCCGCACCGCACTATAACAGTGCTGCCTGCGGTTTATCACTCTCATCTGCGCACTCCCACTAGCCTCCTCCCTAACGGGAGCTATAGCTGGGGCGGCGAGTGGGGAATTTGTACAGTCATCAACATGTGCAAGTGTATTGTGGAAACAAAGGACACTCAGAC